ATTTTTATAACTATCATTATATAAATTATAAAAGAAAATTATAAATTTTACTTTATAACTGTATTTATTTTTAATAATCACTTACTATTATATAAATTTTTTATTATTTATTATCTTTAAAAATAATTCATAGAGACGTAAAATATCTTTTGTACACTAGTATATATAAAGAAAATATATGTTATATTATTAGTATGAAAATAAAATAAAATAATAATAATAATAATAATAATAAAATAATATTCATATTCACATTAATACCCACTTCTTTAGATTAAAGAAAAAAAATTACTTTATGGTCAATAAAAGGTATAAAAAAAATTTCAATGAACGCATCAAACAGTATTTAGGCAAATTAAGTACAAACTTTAAAAATTATTTTATTGTTTATAAATGATAAATAAGATGTAAGGTTTTAAATATAAAGTTATTATTGTGTGATATTTTTTTCCTACTCCAAACTTTCTTTAAATTATTTAATCGTTGAAAATAAAGAATCACAATCTATAAATTTACTGTTCAAAAATTAGTTTAATTTAACTGTGAATAAATTTTCAGTTGTAAATTAAAAATTGTTGTATAATGAAAATGCAAATTCAACAATAAAACTTTTTCTCTTCTCTTATCTTTTATATTTTGGTATTATTTTCTCTCAAAATAAGTCACTTTTTCCAATTTAACTTGATCCATTTTTACTTGATTAAATGAGACATAATGGATTTAAACAATTTAGATATATTTTTCATATAAAAAAAATCCAAAACTCAACATATGAGCAAGATGTTTAATGTTTATTTCTAATAATATAATTTTTATTTATAAAAATAAATTATTAATACTCATCTTGAATTTATTATAATAATTTTGTAAATCATATCGATGGATAATTATATCTTGTTGATACATCATGCATATTATCAATATAATGCACTTTTAGAATTAAATTTTTATATTAATAATTGATTTTTTTATAATCATATGCAATTTTAATTACTATCATTTTTTTGTTAATATTTATAATTTTTTTTTACCGAGTTTATTATGATAATATATTAGATAGATGTATTTTTCTGAAAGAAGAAAGTAGAAAGGAATAGATGAGAGTCAACTTGGTGGAAAAAATGTTTTGAAAGAAAGAAAATACAAAGGTGTGATTGTCACATTTTTCATATTTTTTTTCAAAACTGGACGACACTGAACAGTGAAACACATTTTCCTCAAAAGTTTTTAATTATTTTTGTTGATAATAAAAATAAGATTATATGTCTTGGACCGATGAACTTCAATCAATTTTCAAACGCAGATGATTTTTTTATTAAATAAATTTGTTTATTCCTTTTATCATTCTGAATTATTTTAAATTAAATATTCTTAAGTTTACTATCAAAAGGATTTTCGTATCCTTTATTAATTATTATCATGTGATTTATATATTTTTTTATAAAAATTTAAAATTATCAAAAATAATATATATACAAAATGAGAAATCGTTTCTATATATAAGTATAAATTTATGTAATTTTTATAAAGAGTTAAAATTATTAAAAAAATAATATATGCACCAAAATAAAGAATTTTATATTTGGACTGTACAGACAAAAATGGTGATCCTCTTTATACTAAGAAACAACTATTGAACATTTTCATGCTTTCAAGCCAATATTCTTAATTCCTTCGATAATTTTTTTAGATATAAGTAGCTAATTTCACTGGTGATAGTCATTGATGATGTACCTGAATTCATTTTTATGTACACATTCTATTTATTTATTCAGGTTTTTAATCACATGTTTTTTATCTTATGTTTAATACTTATTATGTAAATTCATCACCTATAATTTAAATTGTTTGGTTTGAGCATCGTTGAAAAACACTTTCAAAAATGTGAATCAAAGAGATACCAAATAAATCTTACGTTGAAAAATATAATAAGGTTTATTAGTTATCTTTTAATCACTTAACATAACATGAATTACATGTCTTTACTATTTCAATTATGTCATCTTGACTTTCATGTTTTTTTAGAGTTTAATAGTTACATACTATTAATAATAATAAAATATTTACATTGTCATCTAATAATAGGAAATTATCAATATGACATCTATAGTCAATTTGGATATAAATTTTAAAAAGTTTCTAAAAGTTTTTATACCAGAAAAAAAATTATTTAAACAGAAAAACTCTTAAATTTTTTTAAAAATTTACATCTAAATACAATTTAAGATAGTTATTACTCACTTCATTTTATAATAAATGTCATTTTATTTTTTTACATAGGCAAAAAAAACTAATAAATATATATATATATATATATATATATATATATAAATATTCCCTTCATATCATAATAAACGTCATGTAAGAAGAAAAAATAAATTTCAAAATAAAAAACATGGATGAAACTTGGAATTTGTGACCAAGTTGGAAAGCAACAAGTGGTGAAATATGTGACCTTAAAATTTGAGGTTTGATGAATGATTGAAGGCATACAGTAAAAGCTACTATTTGTGCCTTTCATCTTCACCTCATCATTTTCATCGTCCTAACCCCAAGTCTAACCTTCACTTTTGCCTTTTCAAATAAATTAAAGAGAATATTGGATTATAATTTTAATAGATTTTAAAAAAAAATTGTTATAAAAAAGTTTAATGATATTAAGTTAAAAATTTTCAAATATAAAAGATATAGTAATATTCAATCAAGAAAATTTGGATTTTTTAAGAAATCTATTAAAATCTAACTTTTTTATTTAAAAAAAAAGTCTTGATAATAAAAAATATAAGACTTTCGATAAATTGTTTTAAATACCGGATTTTGTAAAATGTTTTAGCATAATTTATATGAAATTTATTCATTAAATAATTTTATTAAAACTTTTGAGATTTCACATTTTTTCTCTTCTATTTTTACTTTCTCTTTCTTTTCTTTTGTTTTCTATCTCATTTTATCATTTTCTCTCTCTCTCTTCTTTATCTATTTTTTTTATTCATATCTCATTTATCTCTTTTTCTACTTCTCCTATCATTCTTTTTATTTATCAATTTATGTATAATTTATCAATATTTATTTTTAATTACTAAATTTTATAGTATTACAAATTCATTTTTTTTAGAAAATCCTTTAAAATCTTATAATATAAATCCATCAAAATTCATTAAAATTTGAATTACAAAGTTTTAATTAAAATCCTAGTTTTAAAAATCTTAATTTTTTTTAAAATCATGACATTCCTATATAAAGAAAATTAAAATTCACAAGACTTTTTCATGCTAAGATTATCTTTCAAAATCGCATTCCAATACACATTATAAGCATATTTATTCAAATTCAAATTTAATAAAACAAGAATATCGACAGCTTGAAGCTAATTTTTAAAAAATATAATTATTTGTACAGCAATTCATATTTCATACAATAAATAATACATTTAAAAGAGAGAGAAAAACGTGGAATGTAATAAAAATATGAAAAATAAAAATAAACACAAAAATATTATTGTATAAAATGTTTTATATATATATATATATATATATATAAGTTATTATATGAATAATACAATTCTAATTATCATTTGAAGGATATTTTTTATCTAAACAAAAACATTGACAACTCAATTTTAAATATTTAAAAGTGATAAATTTTTTATTAAGAAATTATTACATAAAATATAATAAATATTTATTTTCTAATAAAAATTTATCACTTTCAAATACCTAAAATCAATTTTAAAGACCGGTGATAACATTTTTTTTATTTCTAATTTGTTAGAATTACTCAATGTGTGAGATTATTACAGGATAAAGTGGTATTTGATATTATTATTGATTTGTTAGAACTCACTATTTTTTAAGGTTGATATTGATTGCCTGAATTATTAAAGTAAGACTCAAATTTTAATAATGATATAAAACATTACTTATATTAACTTGCCCTAACTTTAATGTTGACATTTATAATATTATTAAGTAAAATCCAATTTTAATTAAATAATAATAGTAAAAGAATAAACATTGTACACATTAATAGTGTACAGAAGTTTTTCATGATAACTAAATCACAAACGGTTATGATAAATTTGTTAAACTTTATAATAATCATTTTAAAATTTATTTTAATAGTTGTTTTTATTGATTGACAATTAATATAAAACTTTTAATCTTAATATTATTACATGAACTATTAAAATAAATCTCAAATTTTCATTAGTAATAACACCAAAATATCTATACTATTATAATTTATGCTTCTGCTTTTTAAGAGATAATTTATACTTAAGTTGTATCCTTATTTTAAAAGATTTTGTGCATCAACAAGCTTATAATGTGAAAGTATTAAACATATTTTATTA